AACAAAAAAAAGACCCAGAATAGCCACAGCAATCCTGAGAAAGAAGAACAAAGTAGGTGGGATCTCAATACCAGATTTCAAGCTGTATTACAAAGTCACTGTTCTCAAAGCAGCCTGGTACTGACACAAGAACAGACATATAGACCAAAGGAATAGAATATAGAATCAAGATATTGACCCAAACCACTATGCACAATTGATATTTGAAAAAGGAGGCATGAACATTACAATTGAGACAAGATCGTCTCTTTAATGAATGGTGTTGGGAAAATGGGACAGATAACATGCAAAAAAATGAAACTAGACCACCAACTTACATCATAAACAAAAATAAACTCAAAATGGGTTAATGACTTAACCATAAGACAGGAAACCATAAAAATACTAAAGAAATCCACAGGCAGAGAAATCTCAGATATAAGCCAAAGCAATTTCTTCACTGATACTGCTCCTGGGGCAATGGAAACTAAAGAGAAAATAAACAAATGGTACTACATTAAAATAAAAAGCTTTTGCACAGAAAAAGAAACCATCAACAAAACAACAAGAAAGCCCACTGTATGGGAGAACATATTTGCAAATGTTATCACTGATAAAGGTTTAATCTCCTACATTTACATTGAAGTAATACAACTTAATAAAAGGAAGACAAATGATCCAACAAAGAAATGGGCAACGGACCTAAATAAAAACTTTTAGAAAGAAGACAGAAGGTCGGACAAGAGACATAAAAACCTGGTCAAAGTCACTAATTATCTGAGGAATGCAAATCAAAACACCAATGCGGTACCATTCCACCCCTTTCAGAATGGCTATCATCAACAAATCAACCAATGTCAAGTGCGGATGAGGATGGGGAAAAAGGAACCCTCGTGCACTGCTGGTGGGAATGCAGACTAGAGTAGCAATTGTAGAGAACAGTATGGGTTTCCTCAAAATAATAAAAATGGAACTCCCATTTGACCCCAGTAATCCCACCTTCAGTAATATATTTCTAGAAACTAGAAATACCAATAATAAAGATATATGCACCCCTATGTTCATAGCAGCACAATTCACTATAGCTAAGATTTGGAAATAGCCTAGGTGCCTGTCAGCATGTGAGTGGATTAGAAAACTATGGTACAAATACACAATAGAATACTATGCCACTATATAAAGGAAGGAATTCCTATGATTTGCAGCAGCATGGATGGGATTGGAGAGCATTATGCCAAGTGAAATAAGCCAGGCAATGAAATAAAAATTCCACATGATCTCACTCATTTATGGAAAATAAAGAACATTATAACCTGATTAACAAAAAAGATAGAGATAGAGGCAGTAAAGCATTGAACATAGTGTCAAATTACAGTGGGAAGGCTGGGGAGTGTTTGGTTGGGGCGAAAGAGATCAACCGAAGGACTTGTATGCATGCATATAAGTACAACCAATGGACACAATACACTTGGGAGAGTGGGATGAGGGAATGTGACAGTGGGTAGGGGAGGCTGGGGGAAAGTCATTGGGGAAAAAAGGAGATATATGTACTACTATATGTAATACTTTAAACAATAAAAGAAAATTTAAAAAAATACAAAAATGCAATGGATATGTAAAAAGATGCTTAACTTCACACTTAGTGTGCAAATTGAGATACTTTTTGGCCACATTAGTAAAAATATCAAATGCTGGAAAGGGTATAGAAACATAGGCACTCTTCTACTATGCTGATTCCAGTGTAAATTATAATAGCTACTTTGTGGGGTAATTGAGCATTAGCTTTGAAAATTAAAAATGCCTATTGCATTTATATATGGTGATTCTGATCCTTAGTATCTATGCTTGAGATGCATACAAGGTTGCCTGTTCAAGGACTTCCAATGCTGCACTACCAATTTTTAAAATAGCAAAAACTTTATAACAACCTTAGTGTTCATTAAAAGGGGAATGGCTGGACTAAACTATGGGGTGGAGAAAGAATTTTAAGGACATATTAAGTGGAAATCAACAATAATAAGGCTCAGAAGATATATATTTATGACTGAAACCGGTTTGGCTCAGTGGATAGAACGTCAGTCTGCGGACTGAAAGGTCCCAGGTTCGATTCCGGTCAAGGGCATGTACATTGGTTGTGGGCACATTCCCGGTAGGGGGTGTGCAGGAGGCAGCTGGTCGATGTTTCTTTCTCATCGATATTTCTATCTCTCTATCCCTCTCCCTTCCTCTCTGTGGAAAATCAATAAAATATATTTTTTAAAAAGAAGATATACTTATGATTATATTTTGAGGGGAAAAAACAGAAAATGAAACTTTTTAATACATATTTGTACATGTCTCTGATTATGCACAGAGAGAAGGGAAAGACAATAGTGGGACTGAGAGAGCATCAAGGGAGACTTATGTATTGTCTTCATTGCTTGCTGTTGAGGATGATTTGTCTTTGGGTGGTGGAGACACAATGTAATATGCAAGGGTTGGCAAAAGTTTACAGTTGTAATACAAATATGTAATCATATATAATAAAAAGGGTAATATGCAAATAGACCAAACGGCAGAACAACCGAAAAACCAATAAAGCATAATATGCTAATGATATGCTAAGGCTGCTCAACCACTCGCTATGACATGCACTGACTACAAGGGGGCAGTCAACTGGTTGACCAATCATTATGACGTGCAATGACCATCAGGGGGCAGTCAACTGGTCCACCAGTAGCTATGATGTGTATTGACCACCAGGGGGCAGATGCTCCAACTGGTAGGTTAGCTTGCTGCTATGGCAACATGAGCCTCTCCCAATTGAAATTGATTGGGCATGAGCCTGCGGCAGGCACAGTGGGGCCAGAATGAGTGGGAGCAGCAGCAGGTAGGAGCTGCAGGCATCGTTGGACTTAATAAATGAATTTGGCAATGATACCAGGAATAAACATACATGCATTCTTGATATTTGATCCCTGCAAGTCACCAAAAGGTCCCTCCCCCCTGCACGGATTCGTGCACTGGGCCTCTAGTACAAGAATAAACTGTGTTGCCGAAACCGGTTTGGCTCAGTGGTAGAGCGTTGGTCTGAGGACTGAAAGGTCCCGGGTTCGATTCCGGTCAGGCGCATGTACATTGGTTGCGGGCACATCCCCGGTAGGGGGTGTGCAAGAGGCAGCTGGTCGATGTTTCTCTCTCATCGACGTTTCTGGCTCTCTATCTCTCTCCCTTTCTCTCTGTAAAAAAAATCAATAAAATATATTTTTTTTTAAAAAAGAGGTGAAGTTTACTTCTCCTCTTCAAAAAAAAAAAAAAAAAGAATAAACTGTTTCATGTAATCATAGCAGTAAACCTACTTTTGCCCTTCTCTATACAGATCATGTGTCATAGAAATGTTCACTTAAAACCTATATATTAACCAATGTCACTACAATACATTTACCAAAAATTAAAAAGAATGTTTTCATATATTTATTGCAGAATCATTTCTTCTTTTTTAAATTACGGAAATATGTTTTCTCCCCTCCCCTTAATGTTTTTATTGATTTCAGAAAGAATGGAAGAGGGAAGAGAGATAGCAACATCTCTGAGAGGTAAGCATCTATTGGTTGCCTCCTGCATGCACCCTACTGGGGTTTGACTGGGCAACCCTGAAATCTGGGCATGTGCCATCACTTGGAATTGAACTGGGGACTTCTTGGTTCATGGGTCAACACTCAGCCTCTAGAATTGTTTTTTCTAAAGTATTTCCTGGTTGTAGATCAGAGACAAGGGCATGGGTCTTGGTGGCTACAGTGAACATAACTTACCTGGGAGGTAGTAGTAGGTAAAGTAAATAGGGGAGAAATCAAAGGACCCAGGATTACAAATAGTCCAAATTTGTAATCAATTTTCTGTATGACTCCAGAAAGTAATTTTCCTTTTCAGAGTCTCTGTACAATCAGTGGATAAGTTGAGAAAGCTGACTAAGTTACCTTCTTTTTCTGATGTTTTATGATTCTCTAGGTCTATGCCTTTAATGTTAAATTGGTCTGGTTATTTTTTATGACAAGATGGCTTTTTATTTTCTTCTTTTAATTCTGGCACAGTTTGACATTTCACTTTACTGAAAATGGAAGATGATTAACAAGAGGTGGAATAGTCACTCTGTTCCCCATTTGGATATTTTTGAGGGTTTTGTTGACCTGTTTGTGTTACCTCTCTTTGACTGAGTAAGCTCTTAGGCTTGTTTGAGTGGTATGAAAGTGAAAATACAAGGCTGAAAGTTGAAGGATCTGAATTTTATAGTGTGGCCATAAATTCTGGAAACATTTATTTATTTATTTATTTTACAGATTGAACCTCCCCTTGAATAGTTTCCCAAGTTACACTAGGGATACAGATTTATTCTGTAAAAATCAGAAATACAAATAATCGCACCTGTATATACAAGTATTGATGGAAATGCTGCATCAATGCACTGTGTTTATTACATTTGCACATCAACTTGAACTGTGCATAGCTAATAGGGTACACTACATTGAATATATTACATAATATTTTAAACATATTCTGTTTTAATATATTATCTATAAATCACTCTTTTTCTATATTCACTCATATTTTTAGATTTTATGGCTACCATGCATTCTTGATATTGGATGAGTCATATTTCTACTCTGTAGATAACAATTCGACCACTTAGTCCCCAAAGTGATAGGAAAGAACCACATTAATATAAATGAGCTATAACAATTTTACATATCTAAAAACATATCATAATCTGGTTCTGTACAACCTAACTGTCTTTTGCAAATATTTCAGATGAAACCTCTGAGTTAATAAAGGAAACCTCTTCCTGGTCTCTCAGAGACTTCGACCAACTTAATTATGCCTATCATTAGTTAGCAAAGCTTCTTCCAGCTGGTCATCATTGCTTTGCTTGTTCCACAGTGTCATAAGAGGAAATTCTAAGCAGTTTAATTCTAAAGAAAACACACACACTTCAGGTAACAGTTTCTGTAACTGTTTGTTTTTCAACAATGAAAAAAGCAACTTACTCTCACTCCTTTCTCAGGAAAGCATTTACAGCCCCAACTGCAGTCTTGGCCTCCACATCGCTTTCCATAGGATTTCTTCTCTCCCTAGAGAGAGAGAGAGAGAGAGAGAGAGAGAGAGAGAGAGAGAGAGAGAGATAGTAAAATATGTGAAACAAGAATCAGTGCTACCCCAAGGAACTTAACCCTTGGCCACACTTCTCCTAACCAATTAAATTTATTTGATGGTGTCATGAGTCACATGAAATAAAGTCATCTTAAGTTCACACCTTTTTAGATCAGGCTTATTCCTCACTCAATAACTAGTTTGGTAGCTGGTTTGTGGCTCAGCTACCTCCTCATTGGTAGAAATTCTAGTCACAAAGTACAAGAGAATTTCTTTACATGCAGTTCGAAATACTAGTAGACCCTTGACATAGTCTTGTGCCTCACTGGACTTATGTATTTTCAATTATTGAGAAAACAGTGGTTGTAATAGAGAATTTGAAAAATTAAGTGCTAGAAATGCAGAGATAGATTAAAATGGGCATTCAGAATTGTTCTCCTCAGAATCCACTTTTAACACACAATTCAAATTCAATAACACCCCTATGCCCAGTTAGATCCAAATACTTCAGGTGATATTGTACAGTATCCTTCAAATTATATATCTTCATTTTTTCTTCTGTGTTAATAGTTGTTGTTATTATTATTATTAGCTTAATTTCTATAAGAACCCCTGCATGCTCCTGACATATGCTGACCATCTCCAACCTCATCTTCTCTCTCATTCTCTCCCTGGCTTACTCTGCTTCAATTTACTGGTATTCATTCTCTTTAAAAACCTAAGCCTGTTTCTGCCTCAGGGCCTTTGCCCTAGCTATTACTTCAACCTGGAATTTTCTTCCTTAGATGTTTTTATTGCTGGCCTCTTTTCATTATGCTGGTCTCAGTTCAATCCTGACCACTCAGCCTAAGGTAGCACCCAGTTCTTGCAATCATATCACTTATCTTTTCCATATTAAGCATTCTGTCTGCCCCACTAGAATGTAAGCTCTGTGTTTGTTAGGGACCTTATCTATTTTGTCCAACATTGTATCCCCAATGTCTAAAACAGTGGATGGCACATAAGGAATGTTTGATGACCACATGAAAAGACTGGAATTTGAACCAACGTCTAACTCTGGGGTCTTGACCTTAGCCCTTAGTGTTTTCTAAGTTCTTTGTCTAGCAGACACTTAATGTGAAAACTCAAAAATGAAGAAACTGCCATTCTGAACCTAGCCACTTTGTAAAAAAAGCAAAACATAAATTTTAACTATTACCTGTAATAAGAACTTGATTGCTGGGATGGATTTAGTATCATTTAACTTTTTGTTTAATGTTTGCTGTTTATTTTATAAAAAAGAAGGGAACATTTATGAGCCAGCCTCACAATCATTCTTGCATCTTTCTTGTGAGCCTTTTCCTAATTCCAAGGAGCACTGTGAATTTCTTAAATGGTCTTTTATATAGATATTCTCAAATCACTTTATTACCACAATATCTCAGTAATAAGGTAGTGATGGCAGAGCTATGACAAATATTGCTATTTTAAATTCTAAACATCTTCCTGTTAACACACAACTTGAAAAACAACTTTGATATGTGACATGATAAGTGTTATTGTACACTTTGGAGTTTGCCTTCCATTTTATGGTATATAAGATAGGCAAGTTTGATAAGAGTGGGATCAAGAGGTAATGTAGGAGTAGGAAAATGGGGGCTGGCAAATAAGAAAAAATAGAAAGAGTAGCATTCAATTTAACCTTTACCTATGTGGTCATTTTCTCTAATGCTGAGTACTACATTTATTCAGATAATGTATATTTTGTATTTGCTTTTCAAATATTTCTGTACTTTCCAAATAGTCATCAATGAGCATATATCATTAGTAAGAAGAAAAAACAATATGTTATTAAATGATAAAAGTCATCCACTTGAAAGAAAGAGGACTCAACAGGCACTGCCAAAGTTGAAGCGGTATCTGTTTGGAAATTTGGCCAACTTCAAAACAATGAATTTTAGGTGTTCCATAAAATCTGTCTGTCATGAATCAAAAGTTTCCTGATCTCTAGCATGCAGCTAACAGACAGGAAATCATCACTGTCCTCTGTCACTGAGGAAAGTAACCAGAGAAACCTCACAGGCCACAAACAATTTCCTGTAATGCCAGCTCTGGCAGTTCCCCCAGGAGTCTTTAGTTACAGTGAGGGGGAGAGGCATACAAGGAATGGCTTCCAGGGAACATGACAGGACCAGGCTCTGGGGACGTCTCTGCCCTAACTTGGTTTGTATGGGTTCACTCCAACCCCTGTTTAACCAGGCCATGTTACTGGTGTCATTCCTATGCTGGAATGCTCTGTCTTTTCCTCTCAAAATTCAACCCCTCTTTAGACCCTCAGATACTAGTATCAGTCGGTCTTCAGGTTATGTTGGAGATCTGTTCCTATGGCGAGATGTAATGCAATTTTCTCTATAAGTTGGAACCCACCTAAATAAGTATGTATGTCACTCACATGGAGCACATACACAGCAGTAATGAAGTGAAACAGTTAAAAAAATAAAAAAAGATAACAATCCCTGACCTTTTACTTGTGGTAAATAATAAATATAAAGCACATATTTACATATGTCAAAATGATAGAACTTTTTTATTTTTTTTTATTTTTTATAATAAACTAGAGGCTCGGTGCATGAAATTTGTGCCGGGGGGTGTGTGTGTCCTTTAGCCCAATCTACACCCTCTCCAAACTGGGACCCCATAGGGATCAGGCCTAAACAGGCAGTTGGACATCCCTCTCACAATCCAGGACTGCTGGCTCCCAACCACTTGCCTGCCTACCTTCCTGATTGCCCTTAATCACTTCTGCCTGCCAGCCTGATCACCCCCTAACCAGTCCCTACCAGCCTGATTGATGTGTAACTGCTCCCTGCCATCCTGTTTGCCCCCAACTTCCTTCCTTTGCCAGCCTGGTCACCCCTTAACTGCCCTCTCCTATAGGCTTGATCACCCCCAATTGCCCTCCCTTGTAGGCATGGTACCCCCCAACTGCCCTCCACTGCTGGCCATCTTGTGGTGGCCATTTGTGCCCAAATAGGGGTAGGATCTTTGATCACATGGGGCCAGCCATCTTGTGTGTTGGAGTGATGGTCAATCTGCATATTACTCTTTTATTAGATATGATAAAGGCCTGGTGCATGGGTGGGGGCCAGCAGGTTTGCCCTGAAGGGTGTTCCAGATCAGGGTTCTCTTGGGGCATAGGGTGGCCTGGGTGAGGGACCTGTGGTGGTTTGCAGGCTGGCAATGCCCCCTGGCAAATCAAGCAGAGGTCCTGGTATCTGGAATTTATTTATCTTCTACAATTGAAAGTTTGTAGCCTGGAGTGGAGCCAAGCCTCCTGCTAGCTCTGTGGTGGCAGCCATTTCTGTTGGGATTTATGTATATTCTATAATTAAAACTTTGTAGCCTGGAATGAAGGGAGGGCTGCAGAAGCTTGGCCTCCTCCATTGCTGGGAGAAACCCTAGGCTCCTGCTCTTTCCTGTTCCGTGGCCCCAACCATTTCGGTTGGGATTATGTATCTTCTATAATTGAAACTTTGTAGCCTTAACTGGAGGCCTGGGCAAGTCAGGTTGTGCGGAAAGCTTGGTTTCATCTATCGTAGGGGAAATCCAAGCCTCCCTTCTGCTCTCTCCATGACTGCAGCCATTTTGGTTGGGTTAATTTGAATACTTGCTCCTGATTGCCTGGCAGGCATGGCTGGTGGGCATAGCTTCTCAGTGTAGTGAAGTTATGGTTAATTTGCATTTTACTCTTTTATTATATGGGATGCCAGCTAGCATACATTGAGCATACTATATTTGCCAATCATTTTGCTAGGGGCATTACCTCTAACACAACAAAATCCTAGGAGTTATAATAGTCGTATTCCTATTTTATAGTTAAGGAAATTGAGGCTTAGATTTTCCTTACAGTGAACAAACCAAGTTCTCCTCAGAAGAATTCACTGTCTAGGAGGGGTAGGTGAAGTGATAATGAAATCATTGTGGTATTGTGAATGTCTCTACACCTTACCATATATCTAAAATACCTATTTCAGTTTTGTGGTAGAAAATCAAGTCTGGTAACCAAGACAGTCCTCAGAATATAAGAACTTCTTGAATTAGCTCAATAAATGGCTGTTGAACACTCCTTAAAATTTTTATACAACATAAAATTATGCAGTTTCAATAACATCAGGTTTCTTTAAGGGAAACCTCAAGGGAACCTCCATCCTGATCCAGGACACCCTCCAGGATTAGGCCTAAATGGGCAGTCGGACATCCCTCAATGGGTCCCAGATTGGAGATGGTGCAGGCTAGGCTGAGGGACACTCCGCTGTGCATGAATTTTGTGTATCGGGTCTCTAGTTATTTATAATTACAGTATCTATCATACTGTGTCTGCAAATGTATAATAGATGCTTACCCAATTACTGATTCATATTTTAAACATGAGGAAATGAAGTCTCAGCTGTTGATTACTTCCTTAATATAAGAAGTTAACTATCAGAGTTGTGATAAGAAATTAGGTATCCTCATTCTCTGTTTCTTGGGTTTCCCCCCCACTAGATCTACTCACACTAGCTTCAGAAATTAGCCTGAAAGTAAGAAGTGAGGAAAAGAAGAATCTCAAGAGAAGTGCCTTTTTCTTTGGCCTTTTAAAAAAATTAACATTGGAAGTAAGATGGATGCCAACAGGAAAGAAGACTGCAAGATAGTGTGTGAGTGAGAGAACGAAAGGAGAGTATGTGGTCACACAGGGAATGTTAGTTTGTGAGTGGAGGGACAGCTATACTCCAGGGGATTTCTGGATGGGGTTCCCTTGACGGGGCAGCCTCCACTGCTGCTAGGATCACTCCCAAAGCAATCAGCTCTGACATGGAGACTGTGCCTCTTGAAGGGGAGAGTGGATATTGTCAGAAGCCTGAAAATCCAGGGAACATACAACTACAGTACCCAGGGATAAACTGTGAACCTGGAACACCAACCCCCAAACAGCACAAGCACATGAATTGGGGGTGAGGAG